CTTGGTGTTTTGCACATAACACTCACCTCTACAGTATTATTGGGCTTTAAGGAAAATTTTATTGGAATGGTTTATGACAAGTTTTTTTTTTTTTTTTTTTGACTTTTACAACCCTATTTTCATTTAGAATCATTTAAAACAAGTGCAACAAGCTTCCTTTTAACTTCCTTCTTCTGTGTAATTTAATGTCAGCACAGTGACCAATATCCTCACATCATGCCCAGAGCGATATGTGGTGGTGGCAGTATCATGGTGTGGGGATGTCGTTCATCCTTAGGGTCAGGAAAGCTGCGCAGAGTTGATAGGAAGATTCTAGATAATTCTACAGGAAACCTATTGGAGATTGAAAAACATAAGAGACAGAAGGAAGAGGTTCACCTTTCAGGGGGACAGCTCACCTTAACACATAGGCACAGATGCAATGAAATAGCTTAGTAGATATATAACCTGACTAGTATGTAATAGCAAAACTTGAAAATTGCTTTTTACTGACACTCTCTGTTCAAACGAAGGTTAAAATGTTAGTCTCTGTTTTTTATTATTGTTAATAAACGTTTACGTAACCAGATAAAAAAAAAAAAAACATTGAGATCCAGATCTCTTTCCCAGAGGTGACCTGCCCAAGAAAGGTAGCAGCAAAGCAGACAAGACAAATGGACAACAATAACAAAAACGAACATTAAGAATACATACAATTCAACCAATTTGAGAAATAAAGCACAGACGTTATCACACTTCATGTGCCAAGTTGGTAGAAATATTAACCAAAAAACTTGGACTCATAGCATCTACAAATAATTCACTCTGAATACATGAGCAGGTCACAGCTTTCATAACAAACCTCTGAGAACACCTGTATCCATACTTATATTTCACACAAGTGAACTTTTGTTACTTGGTGTTTTCTAAAGTCAATATTACAAGAAAGACTGCTGAATACAAATGTACCCAACACTTTTTAGAAATGAAAAATGAAATTAAAAGTTTTCAGTTACAATGTGACAAAAATTGAAAAAGTTCCAGATGTATAAATACTGAAAGGCAATGATTCAAGCTTAGTTATATTACTGATAATTTGCTACATTAGTGTTAAAAAATACTGACTCAAGCTGACACAAACAAAACAAGTTAGAAATATTAGAATATCAACAATAATTTCTAAACTATAAACAGTAAATTATAGCTATTCATGAATAATGTTGAAATGTGTTTTTTTTAAATCACATATTGATTTATTTATTTTTTTTAACTAAGTTAATTAATACCTTATTTCACATTCATTGACTGGCAAATAAATTTGTAAAACTCAGAATCAAGTTTTTGACAAATGTTTTGAAATTTGCATTCTTATTGAGTGTTCTTGGATGCCCCCTTCTGGCTGGAGGGTTTGTAACAGAAGTTAAGATTTTATTTGGTTATAATGTCTCTCTTGGCACAGATGCCCCATTTGGAATTGAAATATATACGAAGCATAAAGTTTAATATTTATTTTTGCTAAATAATTTGTCTAAAGTATGATGTCGACCAGTACATACAATAATGATTTTGCAGTAAAAATAATAATGATAGAATTATTATTAATTCTATCTTTGATCTGATGAGCAATGATAGAATTGATCTGATAGAATTAATCTGAAAAATTTATATTCAGATCAAAATTGTGGCGGGAATATTTCATTTTCTGAAGATTTTATACTACAGTGACAAAATCTTAAAACAAAAAAAGAGCAAACAAAACTATTCTTCCCTATTTTGGTCTTCAAATGAAGGGCACACATGACAATCACAATACTTATAGTGCTCTTATTTTTGCTATTCATCACCCTTGAAAGCAGATCTAAAAGTAGGCCTGAGCTTCAAAAACATTGCAGATTTTTTATAAAAAGTATTGTTTGAGATATAGGGTGTTCCAGGGTGCCCCCTACTGGTCTGGATGCCTGTAACAGCAGCTTCAATTGTTTATGCCTTGGGCTTTTTCTGCCTGCACAAACAACCAGATTGAAAGCAAAGTTTTTACTCAAACATGTGAAACTGATTTCTTTAATCTATATTTTAAATCTACATCAAAAACTTGATAAAAGTCTGCTTCCTGCAGAATAATTTAGCAGCAAAACAAAGCATAAGGGAAGAAAAGGGCCCACGATGTCTAAAAATGATTGAAGTCAGACCAAGATTCTGGGAGAAACGTTACCTCTCCTCAAGCTTCTCGTGTTACAGAGAAAGATCCAGAACAGGAAGTAAGCAGAGGATGGAAAACAAAGTGTTCCTTATTTTGGCCTATTAACGAAGCTTTACATGAAAACCGTCACACTCTTTGGACTTGGGGATCGGGTGTAACAGGACGGATGTCATAAGCTGTTGTCGACTCACGTCCTCAAGAACGCCTTTGCTCTAGGTCTGCCACAGTGTGAGGGAACATGAGGGTGATGCTAAGTGAAATGCTCATTTTGCGTTTGTGATTACCGAGGCCCATGGGCGATATGCACTAATGTGAGCTAATGCAATAGATTACACAGTGCAGGCCCAGGGGAACAGACAGCAAACAGATGTGGTCTCCTCAAAAAGGGAGGAGGGGGGTTGGTGAAGAGGAGAGGGAGAATCAAAGTTTCAAATGTTCAGTGCGCTGTAGATTGTCTCTTGCAGTTTGTTGTTTACAGAATACACAGCAGGGATAAGTTTTGTCAGTCGTTTCCTTTTATAGAAAAAAGTCAACAATCGTGTACTGATGTCTCCGTTGATGAAGACGCTTTCTCCAAACTTATCAGATTATTTTTCTTCCTTTTTCTTTTACAAGTAGCAATTCAATAAAAAAATATAATATTATCCTGCTGTGCTGTGACACATATGAGACATTAGCACTTTGGGTGTAGGTGTTACCATAATCTGTTTTTTTTTCTTTCTCTTGCAATAAGATTTACTATTCAGAATGAAGGCAGACATATGTATGTAAATATATATAGTATGATTCACTTTGCCCCATTGCTCTGTAATTCTACTCGAAGCTTAGTCACTCTAGGATTTTACAGCATACTACTGCACTGCAACTCAGCTCAAGATACAAATCACCTAAGGCAGCAATCTGGACTGAATAAATACTGCCCTCTGGTGGTTAAAGCAAGAAAGTAAAGGTTAAAGTGAAGTGGAGACAAAAAACAAAATTATTAACAACTTGAATTCGACAAGTTGAACCAACTGGCTAACAGTGAAGGAACGAAGTCAGAACTTTTTCTTTGAATCAAGTTCAAAGCAATAGTCGACTCTTATTTCACAGTAAATATTTAAATCAGACAGTACTTCCACATGGATTACTTTACATCTAAGATGCAAATGTTCACTTTGTTCCTTTTTGTTAATTAAACATTTTGTTAACATTTTTACAAAAATCAAGATTGCACTGTTGCTTGCAGAAAGAAGGTTTTCAGTTTGAATCAGAAAGTCTCTGTGTATGTACGAGTTCTCTCTGGGCACTCTAGTTTCCACATGACTGTTATAAATTCTCTCTATATTGTCTTTCGATGTGAACATGTGTGTGCATGCCTTTTTTTGTCCCTGTGATGTTCAAGATGTCCCCTGCCTCTGGCCCAAAGACCACTGGAGATAGACACAAGCCCCGCCTCTACCCTGCAAGACCCATTCATCAAATTATTTTCAATTTTGAAAGTCAAGTTCTGCAAAGAAACCAGGACATCTATGTGCCAGCTCCTTTCAGAGGAGTCAGAGAAACATCCAGAACAAAAATGTATTTATAGCTCAAACTCATTATGCAAGGTAGTACCGTATAGTTCAAGTGTCAGTTTCTACATTGTTAAAAAAAAAAAAGCATAATTGTGGACTTACGGAAAAGCACGTTCAGGTAGTAGAAAGTAAATATTTAACATGAATTACAGTTAAAGTGATCACATAGTGGCTTTGCTGAGATGTTAAGAAAGGCCAGATTGCTAACGTTCACTTTGTTGGCTCTGGTTTATCATCGTCTTCTTGATAGATTGCAATCTTAAAAATGTTCTGTTAGTGCAGGCGAATTGGCTGGCCAACACACAGAGATACCATGGTGGTTAAACCAGATGCTGGTATTTTGGCAACATGACCAGGAGCCAAATCCAAGTGGAAAATTAAATCAGGATCTCCATAAGACAGAGGGAAGTATGAAATACTCTATGGCTTTGAAAAAATACATACGCAGATGACAGGGTTCACTGACTGAAAATCTCACAAGAGTTCAAGCAAAATCTCACAAGAGTTCACATAAGCCATTTTTCAATAGTTAATGTGAGATTTATTCATCTGGAAATCCACCTATGGTGGCAAATTATCCTTGTTGCTTAATTACGCTCTTTTACCACTTTTTCTTTCTACAGTATTTTCCATATATTTATATTTTCCACGCACAAATACAGTTTATGGAACTGCTAGATTGTTCAGCAATAACATTTTGGACACTTACATTAAAAGGTAAAACATTTTCTTATTAAACATCCTTTTTATTGGCATTGTATATAGTTTTAATTATCTAGGGGGAAAAAATGTTTCATAAGCAAGAAGGGAAAGGGCTTAGGATCACTGTAGATAGGAATAGAAAAAGGATTACATTTATACTACAAAACTCAAACTCTAAAATAAAAAATTGGAAATGTTCAACTCATGAAACTCAGAACTTTCCAAGTTTTTTCTAGTCAATTCATGAGATGAATCTCAGAATTTCTGATAATTTTCAAGCAAACCTTTGACTTGGCAGAAATTTACTCCCACAATGGCCTTAACATGCCATTGTAAGAACTTCCCTTTGTTAGTGGTATTACTGAAATAAATTAACAGTTTGAATATATTTTAATTTCCTGAGATGCACCAGTTTAGGAGAATGCATAAAACTGGTGACTGGTCGAAAAAAAAAAAGCTTTGCTGCAAGTTTATCCTATGCATGAATGTAAATCACAAAGACTGCCACTCAAAGTATCTTAAGAGAAAATGAAAGGCCAGACAGAGGAGGAAAACCTTGCAAGTTCTTTGCCTCTCGTTTTTATTACTGAAATGTCATACAAATCTCAAAACAACAGTATCAATTTGACATCGTTTACATGCAAGCCAAATACAAAAACCCATATTCATCTCAGGCATTTCAATGCAACAGAAACACAAAATTACACAAGCGACACCTGAGCTTTGAGTAAAGCAGTTAACCTGAGACTCTTTTCTTCACAGTTCACATTTAATTGAATCATTAATCAAAATAGCTGCTTTTAGGTTGTTTTTTCCAGGCACACACATAAAAGGTCACTTGAAACTACACACATTCAAGACTGAATGCGCACCAGTCAAATGACAAGGTTTGATCATTTTATTACAAACCGAACCACGGTTTGCAGCTGATGGATCCGAGGCACTAGAGGTTAATGATTAAATGTACCCTTTTAAAAGAATCTTGTAACTAAAGTATTTTCTGCTTGAAGCATATGAAGTTAATCCACAACCAAAACTGTTGATGTAGTTGTGTGTCAGTGTGCTATGTGTGGTTTTTGAAAATTTCTGAAATACTCCATTTATCAAGGTACACAAGCTCAGTTGACATTATAGCAACAGCAGCTTTAAAAATAACAAAGTGTACAGAGAGCAGCATGAGGTAGAGCATCCAGAGGAAACGGAGTAAATTTGGCCTGCTTGTAATCTAATGGGCCAAGGCCATCAAACTTTTCACTCTGTGGTGCTTCGGAAGAGACAAAAACAAAATTGTTTAACTGCTGCCTGAAGGCAAATGGAGCCACCATTTTCACACAAACACTGTCTCACATACAGGCAGATTTTATCTAATTTTACGCACTGCTTTTTGTTCTTACATAACCTGATATCTAAAGATTAGTGTGGGTAGAATATGACTTTCGATAAATGTTTAAATTGATAGCAATATCCCAGTGTACACCAAGTGGAGAGATATCTGTGCACTTATCCTGCTTGGATAAGAAAATAACTGTATAATGAAATTCTCAGCCCCTGAAATATCCAAACAACACAAATTTTCTTCAATTGAATCTACATTAAATTAAAGGCAAGAAATGCACAGTCTCAGCACAGTCTCTTTTTATAAATGCAGAAATTAAATATTTTTTCCATAACGTTTTCCGAAATAAGGTAGCAGCTCTGTTTACATCTAAAAAAAGGGAAACAAAATTATATTGCAGATAACAAGTTTCAATCCAGTGAAGGACGACAACAAAAGCAAGAAAAAAAATGTTTAAAGTTCAAAACAAATTTGTTGCACATATTTTCCAGTGGTTTACCTTGGTGCTTTTTACTTTAGGAGTTCTTGTCAGTGGTCCCGTAGCGCTGGTGTGGGAAAGAGGTTGAGGGGTCTCTCCTCGGAAGGCTGGGTAGGTTTGGTAAGGGTTGGTACAGTAAAGTTCTGGCCCCTGAGCAAGAATAGTTAGTATTAGTTCTTCAAAATATGGATTATGCATACACACACACAGAAGTTAATTTCAGTAAAAATGTACAAAGTTTCCCTCTTAGTGCACAAATTTAATACATACCAACTCTGGGGTTGGCCAGACTGGGGTTTGTTGGTGTGCTGTGGTAGAGAGATGCCAGGTCATTTGGTGTGTAGTGCAGAAAGTTCATCATGTTCCACTCCGACTCCAAACTTCCCCCCAGAGGTGCAGACCCGGTTTTTATTGGATACAGGGCCTCGGAAGACGAGGATGGGCCTGGCCCCTGCGATGTGTTTCGTCCTGGAAGCAGCAGCCTACTGGGTCCATCTAGTGGTGGTCTAAAAGACACTTTCTCGCCAGACTCAATCGCTCTGTTTGTTGGTACAGAAAGCTTCAATCTCTTGCCAGACGGGTCACCAAAATCCACTTGAGGGAGGCTCCCAAATCTGCTCGACAGACACAGTCGAGCAGCATCCGAGTGCCAAAGGGCACTGCTCTTTGATGGGTAGCTCCTTTCGCTTCCTCCCATTCCGTCCAGAGAAGCTGTCCTGTCCGCTACATACTTACTGCCTGCGTTGGTTTTCCTCATAACCTCTGTGCACCTGGAGGATTCCTGGTTGGGATGGGACTCAGCATTTTGTCGGTAAGGTTGAAACCCCGACGTGACGTCTCGGCCCGCTGCAGGGAACGGTGAGCGCTTTGGGCCGTGAGGCTGGTTTACTGGGAGACCTTCTGGAGGTTTGGAGGGTTGTGGAAGCGGGGATTTGGTCCGGCGAGGATAGCGTCTGTCAGTCGTCTGGAGAGGAGTAACGTCTTTCCCATCCAGAGCAGGGGGGCAACCTGTATAACGTCTTAGTTTCACATTGCCTCCATAGTCGTTCTTTTTGGTGTTGTCCGATTTGTCTTTATGCATCAACCTTTTGTGCATTATCAGAACCTCAGGGTAAAGGGTTTTATATGTGCAAAATGAGCATGAATTTGGCGTCAATGCACATCGGGCTTCGGCAGCTATAGAAACAGACACTTTCAACGACAGATTTAATGGGGTCTCAGAGTTCTCGTTCCTTTCTTCCTTTTCCTTCTTCAGGTTAACTGCTGGTGGTTGCTCTACTTGTACATCATTGCGTTCTGTGTTTAGTTGTACAATATGCTTGTCTGGTTTGATATCCAACCCATCAAATCTAACCTCAGGTGTTCCATTTGCTTTTGAATCCCAGAGCTTAAGTCTGCTTGGGGCAGGACTAACATCTGGAGAAGGTAGTAAAGGTACAGATCTGCTGGAAATTTCCCCATTTCGTTTGTCTTTGTGGCGACGATCATAGTGGTATTTTAGTGAAGTCTTCTGAGCGGCTGCGTAGTTGCAATAAACGCATTTATAGGGTTTCTCACCTGGAAAATATGCAAATTAAATCACTTTAGCTTGATTGCAGGAACCTCAGATTAATTGTAAAATCAGGCCTTTTTGCATGCAACATGACGGGATGATTTGTCACAAATTTAGATGCATTTTATTGGGATTTTAGGCAAGAGACCCACACAAACAGATCATAATTGCCAAGTGGTAAAAAAAATGTTAAACTTTTTTTTTTTTATAAATAACATTTTCCAAGGTCAGGCTTACGTGACCTTTACATTTGTAAAACTCTATCAAATTTTAAGGATCAATAAAGACTATTTATTGAAGGCCTTGTTAGAGAAAAACAACTTTGTGAAAAAACAGACAGTTTGGGAAAAACCAGAAGAGAAGTTTAAAGTAGGATTTGGTAATACACAATATCCCAAACTGTGAATATTTGATAAAGCTCTGTTCACTCCAACTATAAAGGAGAAAGCACTGCCAAGCTGCAAACTTGTAAAGATATGGCCATCCATCTAAACTGACCATCTGGGAAAGGAGAGCATTTATCAGAGAAGAGATGTCAAGAGACCCATGACAACTCTGAAGGTGCGTAAGAGACCCTTAGTTCAGGTGACAGAAACTGGCAACAGGACAATAATTAGTTATGAAATCTCCAAATCTGGCCACAATGAAAAAGCAGCAAGAACAAAATCAGTTTACAGGCTTCCACAGAGACTACAGGAGACACAGCAAATGTAAGGATGTGCTCTTAACATGCAAAACCAGTGTAAAAATTCAAAATGCTATGTGGTGGAGATAGTTTTCTTCAGCAAAGAAAGAAAAGCTGCTCAAAGTTAAATTAACAGGTAAATCCTTGCAGAAAGATAGTTACAGGCTGCCAAAGACTTCAGACTGGGGCAAAGGTTCACTTTCTTGCAGGATAAAGACCATAAACAAACTGCTGTTCATCACTTTTGACTGAGCTATTGTGCAAAGCAGAATGGGCAAAATATTTCTGCATCAAGATGTGCAAAGCTGATAGAGACATGCTCCAAAAACTGCAGGGTATAGCTGCACCAAAGGTATTGCCTCAGGGATGCTTAAAAAAAAAAAAAAAAAGCAATGCATCATTTTCATCAATGTTTTCCGTCACACTCTCAAACTCTCATTAAAACCTTTAAATTTTTACAAGTTTGTGGTTGTGCCATTACAAAACATGGAAAATGTTAAGATGCATCAACACTATTTTAAAGTTACAAATTAAAGCAAAAGTGATATATAAATACCTGTGTGAGTTCTCATATGAACTGTGAGGTAATAACTTGATCGGAATGATTTGCCACAGTAGCTGCATTCTTTGGACCTGTATTTTGATCGATCAAGACCATCCTCGCCTAAATAAAAACAGTAAAGGAATGTAGGACAAAAATATTAGGTGTAATTACCCATCTTGTCAGCAGATGGAGCACTTTGTAGCAGCCTGAACAGAGCTCCAGTTTTACCTGAAATCAAGTTTTCCTCCAAAGCCTCCTCGTGTGCTTCCTCTGCCAGGTCCTGTGAGACTGTTCTTGGTGTTTTCACATCAGCAGAAGAAGTTGGACTATCTTCTCCACCTCTCTCACGCTTATGCACCCTGGAGTGGAGAACCAACTGATGATAGGTCCTGAATGTTTTGTGACACTCCTGACAAGTGGTTGGCCTCTCTTTGTCCTTATGTTTTTGCATGAGTGACCTCCGCGGTAGGTTGGAGGTTTCAGTAGCAGACTGCGGCTGAGACCGTAGTTCTTTCACAGTTTTGTCTCCTTGACCTTCTGACCATATAACACTCATCTCTTCTTTATCAGAGCCACAGTCTTCGTTATCTGTGCTGAGTTCCTGACCGATATCTTTAGTATTATTAGGACCAACTGCTATCTTGCCCTTTGTGGCAAGCTGCCAGGCCTGATATGTAGTAAAGGGATCCAGCTGGGGAATCCACTTAGATGATCTTGCATTGTTTAAACTTTTATTTTCAGAAGCAGGCTGCAGGTTGAGACTACATAAAACAGTTTTCTTTTTGTGGGACTCAGTAGCACCATCAATCTTCTCCTTGCCTTCATCTTTACCTAGCTCCGCCTCTCGGTTGTGAACCTTACTATGTTCCGCCAAACTGTCATGATCAGGGAAGAAAAACCCACAAACCATGCACATTTTGTAAACAGAAAGGACCGGCTCCAAGGACGGCTCCTGGGTGATGCCATTAATGGTGAATGGGGCCTCCTGGTCCAGAGCAGCTCTGCTCTTTGGTCCCGGTTTCACATGCATCTTCATGTGATTTTTCAAAAACCATGACTCTCTGAATCGCCGTCCACAAATGTTGCAACAGTACGTAAAGTAGTCCTTGTGCTTCCTCATATGGGTCTCCAGTTCACCGGCATCGTGCGCCACCTGACCACAAACGATGCAGCTGGGAGTTGCCGCCTCCTCCTGAACAGGCGGGACACTGGCTTTGGGCTGAGAGCTCTCCCCAGGGACCCTGAACTCAGCATCGACCCGCAACACTGTGGGTTCGTAGAACGTAGTGGGGTGTTGTGTGAGCACGTGCGGGCCGAGCTCATCCTGATGTGTGAAAACCTGATCGCAAAACATGCAGGATAGCTGGACACTGTCTTCAGACTGCAACATGGTCTTTGCAGTGCAAGCACTCTGCAGTGTCATGCTGCAACCAGGCCCTGGGATTCCTGCATTGTTACTAATCAGGATATCTTGGAGAAGGCCATCTGGGCTGTCCACAAACGGCAGTAAAGAGTGAGTTGGCATTTTCCTCGGAGGCTCAGCACACAGTCCAGAGGAGGAACCTAAAAAAAATGTAAGATTTGATTAATTTCTAAACAAGATTGGTCCATTCATAGCCCTATAATCAATTTTAAATATATAGGAACAACCTTCTAATACTGAAAACAGGAAATGTATCTGTTTTAAGCAATCAACTACACAGACAACTCATTTCCTCTCTGTACAGACCACTGATAAATACTAAATGTTTCTTTTTGTCACAGCAGACATACCTTTGACCAGAAAAACTAACCTTAGTGTTTGAAAACTACATCCAGCACCACAGCAAGCTGAAAGACTCAGTGTTGACATACAATGTAACCTTAATCTCAGGAAACTGTTTGGTTACCCAATTAGCTTACAGCTGTTAATACTAAAAATATGAATATTTATCACCAGTTTATCCTCTTTCTTTATTATTTCTCATGCTAATGTAATTTGTTTTCTGTTTTAATCGCCCATTACGTGGACTTCCTTATTTTAAATTCCTAAATGATGAAAACAAGCAACACAAAGAGGCCTTTTCTGACTCATATGGGATGGTCCCCACATGTATAACATTAAAATTCCTGTGTCTTGTACACCAGGTATATGGAGGTCCAGTGTATGAAAAAGTTCCTATTATTGCTCTGACTAGTTTATATGTGGAGTAACTGGATCAACCATGTCAACCATTTTATACATATAAAAAACTGATATGACCAAATTTCAGTTTGGTCATATTTTTGGGCTTTCCAATAATATGACATTTTTTGAATGACTAGAATATTTAAATACCAATAGGTACCAGTATTTTCTCCTTTCTCTGTCTTGTCAGTTACAGATTCCTCAGATAACAGAAGACAACAGGATCCAGAAAAAGCATATGAATCTTAAACTATTTCAATCTTTCTTCTAAATGTTGCAAATTAGCTAAAAAAAAGTTGTTCTGAAAAAACAGCAAAGCAAGAAAACCGAATACTAAATGCAACTACTGCACAGGATTCTTACTGCTTTGTTTTTTATGCAAAGAAAAGGGATATGAGAGATAGAGAGGAGATAAAAATGAAACAAAAAGAAAAGTCAACCATGCAATCATAGTGACAAATTATAAATCTGAAATTTAAAGTGAGGATTTCTACTGGAACTGATCAGTGGGGGAAAAAGGACCCGACTGTTTCATAAAATATGTGAAATTGAAAACCTTTTTGGCAGAATGTTTCCATTTCCTATTTTTAATGGGTTATGATACTATTTTAGGAATTCAGTATTTATTTTTTCAGCTAATATTTTTTTTCATTCAACATTTTTGAAGTTACTTTAATTTAAAAATGAGCAACTAAATGTAAAATAATAAATAATAAATGCCTATTTTAAGTGCTAGGTAGCTTAGCATTTTCTTAGCCTATCAATTAATTTTGTTCAGTTTGAATACAATGCACTGAAAAAAGCATATCCATTTTTTTTTCCAATTAAAATGTGCTTTGTAAGGCAGAACTTGAATCTAAAATTATGACTACAATTTAGTAAATTAAAAAGCTTGTTGTCAAAACATAAAAGTTACAACTTGACTACTAATTATTAAATTAGGACTAAAGCTAAATTACATTTCATCAAAAGATTGACAAGCTAAATGTGTCACCATAATAAAACAATTTTAACTTAAGTGTTTTATTGTTCCTGCTAGCAAAACCTAGCAGGAACTTGCATAAAAATGAATCATTATTTAAGAGGAAATGGGGTTAAGAGGAAAATCCCAACTCTGCTTAAAATCAAATCCAAACTAAATCCAATCTAAACAATATTCAATAATTTTTGACATGAAGTTTATAACTTAATGTTATGCCACTTTATCCAGTTGACCTCTGGACAACTGGATAAAGCAGGACCTTGAGCTTTTTTGTTAGTTTCTTCTGCTTTTTTAAAGTACACGCATGCTTTGTGTTCCTGTTAGTCACCTTGTTATTCAAGAAAGCACAGATGTGGTCTAAGAGGGACACTCAACGTTTATCGAGTCGAGGGGGATGCTATAAGTAGCAGTTAACTTGTATACAGCTCAAACAAAAATAAATGTTCTGTTTTAACAGTCTGGCTATTACGCTTCTATGTGTGCATTATAAGTCAAACACGAGTTGTTTGTTTGGCTTGTTTAAAAGCCACACAGTTTTGTGTCACAATTTAACTTCAATAAAACAACAACAACAACAAAGAAGTCAGTTCAAAAGAGAGGACAACGCTTATGTCATGGCAACATTAAACGTTTGTTCTAAAACTTGAACCACAACAACACGCTAAGGTCACCGACATAATTTATGAACCCGTCGTGTTAAGTAATTTTGAGCATACCAGTAACAGTTAGGAAACAATTTCCCACCCCCCCACTTTCTTGTCTGCTGTTCACGACTTGCGAGCAAACTGTGGAAACTCACCAAACAATACCTACCAAGTCCGAATTTCCGGATTAGTATTAACTATAGTGATATACTACGAGCGAAAAGGAAGGAGTGAGCCGCCACGCTGCTTTTTTTGCTGCTGCTGTTTGTGTCGGGTAGCTTCTTCATTTCACGCAGCTCTCTCGCTCTGTTTCTCTCTCTCTCTCGCATGTGTGAGTGTGATGGTGGACGGCTCACCTAATCAATTGTTTGAATGTGAATCATATTTGTTCTACTTGGCGAGTCCTCCTCCCTGCGTGCAGCTGTTGAGTTCTGAGGCGCGTGCGCTGTGCCACTCTCTGTCTCGAGGCAGGGGGTGGGGGGAGATAGAGCGCGTGCACAGCGTCACCCCCCTTTCCCCATAAAAGAAGAAGAAGAAAAAATCCCACACGACAGTCACGTGGACAAGAATGACAGAAAAATGACACATTGTAAAAAAACACAGTTGAAAACTTGGGAGTAGTTATAATATTAATCCCTATAAAACATTTCTCTAATAATGGCGCAGGTAAGATTATATAATTTATTTACACTTATATCAGATTGTTTTCCAAAACTCACATTAACAGTCACATCTCTATACAGTGACGTCCATGAGCTCTGCATTGTTTATTGCTTTGACTTTGCATGCTGCTAAAGTTTTCCGTTTTTAAGAAGAGAAAAGGTGTAAATTGTCAGAAAAAAAAGTGAATTGGTGTGCTGACTTCAGGCTACGTGACTCTTAAAGGTGTAACTCACCTAAACTGTAGTTCTTTCCTCCATTTTCACGTCATGCATCAGCTACCATGTGGAGGTGGGGGAGGGGTTCCTTAAACCCTTCACTGTTACATGAGGTTTCTTTTTCTTTCTGTCTTTCTATTTTATAATGCAGATGCAGAAGCAGGTTGGCTGAGTTGTGGGAAATTTCATGTTCTTCCTATTTCATCAGTCAAACCCACCCAAAGGAGATCAGTTACAAATCCACTTTAATGTGATTCTACACAAAGAAATATAATTCCTTACATGAGGGGCATGATAAAGGATGATTTTATTATGAAAAAGCATTTATATATCAATGTCATACATATTAAAAACACAGAGATATGACGATTGCAACACAGATGTTTTTAGATAAAGAAGATCACATGCAGCCTAAAACCCGCCCCTCCTCCACCTCCAAAAAAAAAACTTTCAAAAGAAGACATTGATGCTAACTCAACATCTTTCAGTCAATGGAGATATTCAGTAGACTTTAGTGTAAACTCATCCTGGAGACACCCTCTCCCTCCCCCGAAAGGAGAAAAAAAGAGAAAAACTTTTATCTGTAACCACTCCCCAGTGGAACACGGAACAAAGACTCCATTTGGCAAAACTATCTGAGGATTGTTAGCTCTTAAACTGCCTCCTGTTTTGCCAAGATATATTAAAAGATGTTTGGAGTTTCTTTGCTGCTGCCTTATAGGTTGGGACGATGCTGTGTCAACTGGGTAGTGAAAACACGGGTAGGTGTGCAGGTCTGGGTAAACGGTGTCATCGAAATGTGTAACTGAAAAATAAGCATGTGAAAAGATGAACCAAAAAGTCAATAAATAAATAAAATAGAAAACAAAACAAAAAATAAATAAATGCACCCATTTATAGATTTATTTAGTTTAAGCTGTTTCGTCACACTTAAATGTTTAGGATTGTCAAACAAATCATAACACCAGACAACAATGAACAAATACACACATAGAAAACCTTTTAAAATGATTTTGCTCATTAAAAGTGGAAAAAGCTCTTCAATGCAGGAAAAGTACAATTGTGCCTCATAGTTAAATCATTAATCAACTTTGATTAACCAAATTTTTTGAAAAGCTGAATTAAATTTCACTTGCCCCGCCTGGGTCTGGTTACTGTCTGGCTTGTAGAACCAAGAAGTCCCTTAATTGAAACCTGTCTGACAACATGAAGTTGACTGAAAGCTCTCAAAAAGCCGCATATCGAGTTCTGATTGAAATAAATTAAAGAAAAGATGAGAAACTAAGCCAATGTAAAAAAATCAACAAAACATTTCGCTAAGCATTTCTAGGACCAGGATCCATCCATCCAAAATTACTGCAGGACCACCATAATGGATGATCCAAGAAGTCAAGAATTCAGCTCCACCAATTGATTTGTCTCAGTTCAGGTCAGGACTTGCATAACTTGAAATATTTGAAACTGTGAATTTTGCTGCAGAATAGAGAATATCCAGTAAGTTTGTGAATTTAGGCCTGAACACACCAACAATAAATCCCATCTGAATGGTTAAATTTGGAAGATTTTTTATGAAGAAAATATAAGTGAGCAAACATTTTTCACTGTACATTCTAAAGCATCAATGACTTTATGGAGGGGATTTTTTAAAATGTGTTCTCTTCAATATCAAATCAGTCTAAAGCAGAAGCTCTAAAATAATAGTTCGGAAGACTGACTCACTCTCAGTCTCTGAGTCAAATTAAAATATCTTCCTACTCCCTCCAATTCAGTTTTTAGTATTTTTTTTGTACTTCACCCCAAGATCCTATTACACAAACAAGTCTAGTATGTTAATCAAAGGCACCGCATGTGACACATGGAGGCCTCCCGCTCATTTCCTATTGTTCTGTGACCACAAAGGCTCTGAGAAAAGCTATCAATCTAAAGCAGCAGTGTGATCCCTAAGGACTCCAAAAAAGCCAAAAGATTTGCTTTGCAAGACACTAGTTACACTTGGGTATAGTTTGTTTTTAACTGAAGGAATAAAAATGTATTGATTCACTGCAGCTGTTTAGTTAAAATTCTTCCCCCTATTTTGGTAATGACATCAACAAGTGGAAAACAGTGTTTACTTTTAACTGATTGGATTACCTTTGTGTTGGTGTGGGACATTTCACCAAAGCGGTGTCGCTCTCCTGTGTTTCTTAAAAGTACACTTGTGCATTGGCTATGGAGTTGCAGTTGGCAACATTTTAGCTTTAGATAAACACACTGCTCTGATGAATGATTATGCATTCAGTGGACACCCACCCTGATTGGGATTGGATCCACGAATGGGGGGGAATGGCTTGTTTTTGTCTCGGCTTGTCAGAAGCAGCTGACTGCATTGTTCTCCTCCAGATTCGCAGCCTGGCTTCTTTCATAATCCTGGTGCCGCTTCTGAAGGACTCTGATAATATGTAATCTCCTTTCTCACCCCTGGCCCAGTGATGTTGATTCACAGCTATCGGGCTGCGGAGTTATTGGTCAGAAAAAGAAGAGACATAAGCAGACACAAAAAGCGCTCCTTCTTTCAGAAGTTCACAGTTTAAACATTTCCTCTCTTTCATGTGGCAAAATTGTCTAAAAGAGATTAGGAAGGAAGGTACGTCTGTTGTGCTGCAAGAGCCCTGTTGTCTTTTCCTCTTTTGGCATTTAGACTTTTTTTTTTTTTACTTTTCTGTGCCACTGTGACCTCTCAGAAAATTGATGTGGAACTCACACAGAAAACAAATGACACAGAAAGCAAAGAGCAACTTTGATGAAAAGGCTTTCAGTTGCAAACAGTGCTTTACACACAAAAAAATAATCAAATAGTTGACTTGTTTTCTTAACAAATAAAATGTAATTTAAAATGCAAAGTGATACTTGTAAATAAAATACAGTGGTGGTATTTGAATAATTGTTTGAACATGTCAGAGTGCAAGCACCACACCTGAATTCAGACATGCCAAATAACCCCAGCTAAGCAAGTTAAACCTGAAATCCTCAGGCAGAGTCCCAGAGCTCCACATAATTATATGAACAACAGACCATCTCAGAATGAAGTATCAGCAAAGCACCATATAGCATTGGCAGACAGCACTTTTTAAAAGTCCTAATCCAGCCCATAATTATCAAAAAATAGCATCTAAGCACTTGACTTTACTGTGAAGAGATTTTGAGTTATTATTGTAATACAGAGCATTTGGAAAGTATTCACAGTACTTCCCTTTTCCAACATTTTTTGTGTTACAGCCTTATTCCAAATTCTATTAAATTAATCTCAAGGCAAAATTCTGCACACAAGAACCCCATTATGACAATGAGGAAAAAGGTTTTTGAGTGTTTGTAATGCAATATTTGTGTGAAGAATTGCGGTTAATTTAATACAATTTTCAGTAAGGCTATAACATAACAAGGCATAGAAAAGTGTGAATACTTTCCAGAAGCACTGTTTACATATGTACCTGTGTGCCTCAAAAACGGCAGCATTTCAGAGGTACAAAATAGCAATCATTCAAAGATTCTAACCACAGACAGTTCCTGTTCCTCCAGCAGCTTGAAGCAACGACTGAAAGATATGATCAAAGTAAAATGTGAGTGAGAAAATTAGTATATCTCCCTATCACACACTGAATGGAACTGCAACTTCTCTCTCAGTTAGCGGACAGAGCTGTGTTTGAGAACACTTGCAGTACCTTGCAACAGTATTCACCCTCTGAACATGTTCACATTTTGTCAGTTTATATGCAAAAATATACAATTTACAGTATTTTCTTGAGATTTGACATATTTGGCTAGCAAAGCAGATGCACGACAATAAAGTGGAAATAAAAATGCGGAATATGAGTGCAATTTTATTCCACTTCTTTATGTAACTGCAGGTCTGTGGAGGATATCTCTGTCAGCTTTGCAAATCTAGATACTGTAAGTGTTGCTTATTTTTCTCATCACAGCGGAGTGGGTAGAGAGTGCTTTCCGATTATCAGTTTTAATGTTTTACCAAGATTAAACTCTTGGTATCACAAGGATGTGTAGCTCTGACTGTATTTTTGGGGGTGTCTTTTGCAGTCTTATTGTTTTTTGAGGATTTTGATGTACCTTATCATTTGTCTAATCACTAGCTTACATTAGACAAATTAGCTTTCCTTTCTTGCTGAAGAAAGCTTCACAACAGCATAATTCTGCCACCACCATGTTTTACCATGGGTTTGATGTCTTCAGTGTTTGTGTTGTACCTCATAAACATAGTGCCTGTTTTCTACCTCACGTAACATTTTGTAGACCAAAACGTCTAATATGAGCCAAACATCCTTTTCCACATGTCAGTTATTGTCACTTTGCACGTGACAAACTTCTTCTGCTTTTCTTCTAAACATGCAAAAATCTTGCCACGGTCCTCATGGTTGCTTGGATGAGCAATGGTCTTCTGTTTATTTAGAAAGACAATGGGTCTGTAGGTTTGTCTCTGCAATGCTGTTTTTTGAACCAAATCCTGACTTTAACTTTGACTTTGACTTTGACATCTTTATTCCTATATATTTATGACCTGTCTGGAGTGTTCCTCTCTCCGTCATGGTAAT